CCAGGGTGACACCAGGCCCGTGGCCCCATGGGAGGAGGCCCAGGGTGACACCAGGATCATGGCCCCGTGGGAGGAGGCCCAGGGAGACACCAGGATCATGGCCCCGTGGGAGGGGGCCCACGGTGGCACCAGGCCTGTGGCCCCGTGGGAGGGGGCCCAGGGTGGCACCAGACCCGTGGCCCCCAAGATTGCCAATGGGCAGGAGGCTCCGACTGGACAGTGTCCCACTCACTCAGGCTGTCCCTGTAGGCTGATGAGTCGCGTCCTCACAAAGCCCACCTGGCCCGAGGCCTCATGCCGGCCAAGACACCAGGGCAGGCCGGGCACCCATGCCCCCAGGATCCGGACGTGGTCTCCCTCCTGGAAGGTCATCTCTTCGGGCCCGGAGCCCTGGCAGTCAGCTTCCGCTATAGCCAGGCCCCCTGCTGTGGGAAGGAGGCTGGTGGTCAGTGCTGGAGGGAGGATGGGCAGGGGACATGTCCCTAGGCTGGGGATAAGGCCCTTCAGGGACTGAGGACAGTGTATGGGGTGAAGGGTGGTCCCAGATTTATAACCCTCACAGCTTCAGAACATGACATCAGCAGACGGGGGACTATGTGGAGCAGGAACTTTGCAGGTGGCATGGAGTGAAGGATCTTTGAAGGGTGTGGGGTAGCTGGAGTCCCAGATCCATGATCAGAGGGACATTTAAGGGTCCTTGTAAGAGACAGGAGGGGGTCTGAGACAGGGACACTTGGAGAAGATGTCATGTGAGCCCCAGGTGGGGTCTGGAGCACAGCCCCGGGGCCAGGAGAGAGTTGGGGACAGAGTCCCCGGAGCCTCAGGAGTGGAGACAGTGACACTCGCTCTTGAACTTCTGTCCCCAGAAGTGTGAGGGTGGCAGCCCAAGGACTGCAGTGGGCATGCAGTGTGGGGCCTGGGTACCTCACACCCAGTGACAGGATCCAGGCAGGGCTGGCCTGCTGCCTATCTGTCATCCAACCTGGGGCTCCCAACACAGGGCGGCCCCAGGCTCAGCTCCGAGGAAGGTCACACAGAGCCAGTGAGCGGCAGGGTCCTCACCACCCAGCAGTGAAAGGGGGAAAGGGTGGGTTTCTGCCGGGAGGAGTGTGTGTGTACAGAGACCTGAACCTCACCCCCTTCTGTGGTTATGGTGGGAGCCTCAGGGCCTTGTGGGGAATAGGGGCCCCCACGGCCTCCTCTACTGTGGGAGACGGCTGAACCCAGGCAGGCCATCATGGGGTGACCATCCTGTCCTCACCTGTCATCGGGAGGTTGGGAGCCACAGGCTCTTCTGTGGAAAGGTCCACGGGGTCCAGGGGGGCCCTCAGTACCCACCTGGAGAGAAAAGGGGGCTGAGTTGCTGAGACTTCAGATTGAGACAGCAACATTCTCTTGGGCGCAAAGAGCTGGCAGCCCCCCAGTGACTACAGAGGACCTATGTGTGCAAGGGACCCGCCACCTCCTGCACCCTTTCTACACCTGTCCATACGTGCGGCCCTCGGCCCCAGGCCAGGTGCTCACTGACTCGGCCCAGCCTGAACCTTAGGGGCGTCCCCAGGATTTATCCCTCAGCTCTGCCAACTCCTATACACTCATCCCTCAGGCACCCAAGGACCCCTCGGCCACCCAAGGCAGCTCAACAGGATGGGGGTGGGGAGGAGGAGGGTCCGGCCAGGGGCTCCTGCTGCCCCCTTGCTGTGCGGCCTCAGCACACGGCTTCTCCCTGGAAGCCAGAGTTCCTTCAGCTGGAAGAGGAGAAAGTGAGAGGGCAGCCAGCTGCCTCGGCCCTGCATTCCTGGAAGCTCGTACACAGGCACATTGTCCATCATTCACTGTTGACCACGCCGGGCAGAGACTTGTGAGAGGACGCCCAGGGGTAAGTCCCTCCAGGTCTCAAAGGGGAGACAAGCCGCCTCGGCGATACTGTGATGAGATGTGCTTGCCCTTCTCGCTCTGGCTCCGGAAGCTCCAAGCTACGTTGAGGGCCCACGCCCAGCAGTGAAGGCGCCTCTGTTCCTCCCGTGTCAGCGTGCCCTTTGGCTCCTGGCTGGACACCTGCCAAGTGCCCCCTGATTACGGACACCCATGCTACATAGTTCCTATGACAGCTTTCTAGGATGTGTGTGTGTGTGTGTGTGTTTGCATGCACATGTGTAAGTGCCCTGTACCTCACCTGTGCACTATCTCACCCCCAGACAGTCTACCAGGCAGGTCACATCCATGTCATGTGGTGATAGCCGGAGGCCTGGAGAGGTGCACGTGCCCTCTGGGTACCCATGGCCTGAGGGGGGCTGAGCCCAGGGGGCACTGTGAGGCTGCCCAGTGCCAAGGGTGGAAGGAAGTGAGAAATGCAGATCAGTACATACTGATGGAATGGAGTCAGAGGTTCCAGGTCCATCGAGGGCCCCTCCTCCTGGGATGAGCTGGGGCTGGGGCTCCCAGAGTCCACTCCTGAGGCCACTGCTCCATGGGGCCCCCTCCCCGTGCCTCGGGGGCCAGGCACTGCTCTCACACGGCGGTCAGGACCCAGGACATAGTAGAAACCTGCAATGGTACAGAGCAATCACTCCAGGACCAGCTGCCCTGAACCCCATGGGACCCACTGCTCTAGGAAGGTCCTGAGTGGAGGCCACCCTCCTGTAGGCCCCGCCCTGCCCAGTACTCCTGACTCAGCTCCAGGCCCTCTCTGGGCCTCAGTTTACCTGTCTGTGATATGCAGGGATGGGCATGGGATCTCAGAGCCCCTCTTGTCCCACTACCGGTGAGCGTGACCATGCTGGGTGGTCCCCACTCTCCCCTCTCTGTGGGACAAGCTCCCTCGTGCCCCCTGAGCTCACGTTTGGAGTTCTGGGGTCAGGTTGTTGGCCCAGGGGCTGACCAAGCTCTTCATGGAGTGCAGTGGAGGCTGGGCACACTGTCTTAGCACCACTCCTGACACCCTACCCACATCAGCTCACCCCATCTGTCTGTCTCTGCTGGACATCATCGGTCTGGAACCTTCTGGTGATCTCCATCCCACCTCCCTGCTGCCCACCCAGTGGCCATGCTTACCTTCCTGCTTGAGCAGGCTCTGGTGTGTCTCCCGCAGGACCTCCTCCTCCAAGCAGACCTCCAGGTTTGCCTCCTCCTCATCCTCAGGTGCCCGCAGCCAGAAGGCCTGGTCCATCAGCAGGTTCTCCAGGCAGTGGGGTATGAAGCCTGGGAAACCAGCTGATCACCAGGGGGCTCAGGAGACCGAGGGGTCGAGCTTGGTGTTGGCCAGGTCTCACTCAGACCAGGCCGCAGAGAGCCCCCAGAAGACACATGACCCCAGTTACAAGCCCTATCCTTGAGCCGTCCAGCTCCGGACCGGCTCTGTCAGATGCTCAGGTCAGTGGGTAGAAGGCAGCCAGTTTAAATCTCTACCAGCAGCTGGCTGGGGCCTGACAAACCTCTGACCTCTGGTCCCTGTGTCCCCCACTCTCTGTGCTGGGAATCCTGGCCTGTGCCTGCCTGTCAAGGGGCCTGGTGGAGGGCGTGAGTTCAAACCCTCTGCCACACCAAAGGAGCATGCTGGGAACGCTCCTTCCAGCCTAGGAAAGCCAGGGAGACCCGGAGTAGGGCTAGCTCTGCACAGCCGCAGTGGGCATACCGTGGGCACAGCCTGTCACACACCAGGCCTGACTCCCAGCGACTTCATGTACCACAGAGGGACACGCTGCCCAGGCCTGCCCACCTCTCTCTGTCATGTGCTTTGGACGTGCTGTCAGGAGGGACCCATCCGGGAAGGACAGCTCACTTCCTGTCTGAAGCAGAAAGTCAGGGAAAAAGAGGAAGGCCTTCAGTAGGTGGGTGGACACGGTGGCTTCAAGGAGGGGCTCAGGCGTAGCCACAACCATGAGACAGGGCCTTCCCTGGAACCCCCTGAGAGACAGTCTCTGCCTGGGAAGAGAGAACCTGCACCCCAGGGCCGAGCTTCCTGAACCTTCCTGAATCAGAACAAGTGTCCATTAAAGCCGTCCACGTGGTACAGGAGCACCAGGGGATGGACACCCAGTCTCTCCATTTGGTAAGGAGGACAAAGCCCCAGAATGTAGCTCTAGGACTCTGCCATGGATTGAGCTGTGTCCCCCCACATTCTGTGACCCACATCCTAAGCCCAAGGCCTGTGGCTGTTTCCCATCTGAAAGGAGGCACCTGCTCTGTTAGCAGGCAGCCCCTAACCACATTCTGAAGGGGGAGCACCTGTTGTATATTAGGAGGCAGCCCACCACATTTTGGGGGGGCACCTGCTGTGTTAGGAGGCAGCTCCCCACGTTCTGAAAGGGGGGGCGCCTGCTCTGTTAGGAGACAGTGCTCGTATCGGGCACAATCTAAATCAATCTCTTCAGACAAACGGAAGAGCAAGGAAGACTAGACGAGGACTGTGACAGCAGAATAGTGATGCCATGTGGATGTCACCATGGACATGAGGACACAAACACCTGTCCCAAGGTCAGCAGAGCAAATGCCGTCCCCAGGTCCAGGCCCTGGTCCGTCAGCCTCATGTGTTTTGAAGGATTGAAGCTCTGATGATTAAAGCCACCACATTGCGTGTCTGTCACAGCAGCACATGGTCACTAAGGCCCTCTGGTCCTCATGGTCCAGGGAGGACTGTGGGCTGTCACAGAAGATGAGGGTACAAGCTCCTGAGGAGACTCTCGCTGTCATACTCAGCCCTAGCATCTACACACACCTGCCACCTGTCCACCTCGCTGCTGCAATGCTGCCCCAGGTAGTGAGCCTCCCCACCCCCAGCCTCTCCTGCAGGCAGCACTGGCTTGCTCCATTGCCAAAGTTAAGGGAAATGATGACAGTTGTTCATTCAAAGAACTCCTAGTGAGGTGGAACCCTTAAGGAGGGAGTGAGGAAGGCTGCTGCCTTCTGACCCACGTCAGGACACCTTTAGACTGTGACACTTCCACTAGGACCCTTGGTCTCTTCTTCTGTGGTAACAACAATGCTTGAGATAGAGGTTAGCACAAGAAATGGGGCTATGGTTCTTGTATGTCCTCAAACCAAGCACGTGGAACCAGATTCCTGCGGAGACAGAGACCTGAGTGGATTCCCCAGCATAGTGTTAGCCGGGCCACAGCTGAGATCAGAGTCCAGACAGGACTGAGAACCCTCTGCAAACAGAGAATTCTGCCCAGCCCCCCATCAAGGGGATGCCATGCCTGAACTTTGGTCTTAGTTTTAAGATTAAGCTTACCAATTGTTATGTTGGCAACACTTAAGTATAAGGAAAACATAGTCTCTGGAGATTGAACTTTTTTAGGAGGATTGACTTAAACTAAACAAAAACCATAGGGCACCAAGAGAGGGGCCTTTTCACAGTGCTGAGCTGTGAGAGGACCTCTGCCTCGGCCTCTCTTTTCCAGAATTCACTTTCCTGTGTCCCTGCTTTCTTTCTGTGTCCAGTTTGCAACAGACCTGCTGTCGTGGAGGTGACCTGACTGTGGTAACCCCGAGAGTCAGGGCACAACTGGGTTCTGGAGGGTTTTCAAGGTCTGGCGTTTTGGTTTTTGTTGGGGTTTTTTGGAAGTAGGTTGCCAGGCCTTTCTTCCGAGGTGTCTCTGGGTGGACTCTAAGCTTCGTTGGGCAGTGAGGTGCATTAGCCATCTGCTGCACCCAGGGACATAGCCAGAGAAGCAATCGGATCCCATGATGACTTCAGAGTCTCAATCAAGCAGCTAGCCACGAACAGTGACAACATAACAACAACAGACATTTCTAGAGAGGACGTAGGATGAGCTTGAACTGACACTCCTCCTGTCCACCTCAGGTGACACACCTCCCGTCCACCTCAGGTGACCAGCCTCCTGACCACCTTGGATGACTGGCCTCCTGTCCATCTCGTGTGACTGGCCTCCCTCCCATCCACCTTTGGTGACACACCTCCCGTCCACTCCACCTTGGGTGACACGCCTCCCTCCCATGTACCTTTGGTGACACACCTCCCATCCACTCCACCTTGGGTGACACGCCTCCCTCCCATCTACCTTTGGTGACACACCTCCCGTCCACCTCAGGTGACCAGCCTCCTGACCACCTTGGGTGACAGGCACTCAGCTTCCCTCCAGGATCTGGTTAAGTGACCCGAGGGAGTCATGGGAGGGATGTGGACATGCAGAGGCGGCATGAGTCATTCATGCAACCAAGCTCTGTGTCCACAGCACAGTGCTGGACACAGTCCTCCCTTGGGAAGGGCCACATCCTTCTCACCATTCCGTGCAGTGCTTCCATGCACACTGTACGTTGTTGTCAGATACCATCATCAGCTCACAGCGCCCTGTGAACAACAGCTCTGACCCCGTCCTAGCCTGGGCACTCCCTCCACCCTGCCAGGTTCCAGCCACAGTCACGGTCACTGTGTCCACCCATCTGTTGAGGGTCTTCCTCTCTTTCTGACCCTCCACCTTTCCCAGAATGATGTCCTTTTCCCAGGAATGGCCCTTCCTGACGCCATGCCCAAAGTGTGTGAGGCCACGTTTGGGGCACATAGTCTGCCCAAACCCCCAAACTGCTCAGTGTGAGGCACTGGTGGTGTGTCAGAGCACAAGCGCCTTACCAAGAGCGTGGTAGGTGGAGAACTTCCAGACCTCCTCAAAAGTCTTAAATGTCACCACAATCTGGTCACGGTCACTGTGGATGGACAGCAGCCTGGCTGACAATTCCTAAGGAGAAGAAACAGAAATGAGGGCCAAGCCTAGGGTCCACTCATGGGGACCACCCGGCAAACGTGGACCTTGGGGGGGTGAGTGCAGAGCAGATCCTGCAGGTCCAGACCTGCTCCTCTCCTGCTCAAGAGCCGGCCATGGCTCCCCAGTGCCCGTGGACAGAACTCATGTCCCGCCCCAGGGCTCGCGCTGTGTCTCCGCGTCCTGACTCCACCCTCAATGCATGTCCCCGCCTATGCCTTCGGAGTTGCTCCCCCTGGGACCCCAAGTTCTGCTTGATTCAGTCCCTGTTCATGCTACACCCTAGTCTTGAGTGACCCCACCCATCCCACCCCTGCCCCAGCTCTGCCCACAGCGTGGGGTCAGTTCCAGTTTCCACAGAACAACCCTGGAGGTGATGACCACGCTGAAGCCAGACAGCTCCAGCTTCCACTGGACTTTCCTCTGAGGCCACGCCCATTATTCGAGGCTCCGCCCCTCCTGAGGACCCTCCCTTCTTTTTAGGCCTCACCCACCCTTTGTGCCCTCACACCTCCACTCTGCAGCTCCGCCCCTCCTTTGTGACCTCGCCTTAACCCTAACCACACTCTTCTCTGTGGCCTCACCCCTCCTCTGTGACCCTGCCTCTCATCTATGTCCCCGCTCCTTCTGTGACCCCACCCCTCCTCTCTGGGTCCCCTTCTCTGTGACCCCGCCGTTTCTCTGTGACCGCCCCCCTTCATCTCTGTCCCTGCCCCTCCTTTCTGTCCCCACCCCTCTCTGCGACCCCTCCCCTCATCTCTGT